CCCGTGCCTGTGAAGTGTCACGCTTACCTCCACTCCAAGCCGCCACTTCTACGCTACCTGCGACCATGGCTTTTGTGCCCTCCCCTGTTGAGCGCTCTCCGGAGACCACCTCCATAACTTCGCTCAGAGAATCGTTTGGCAGATTTTGAATGCAGATTTGAAATCAGCATCGAAAAATACGTCTAGCAGTATAGGTCTCATTTCAAATGGCCACTTCGACTTGGGATCCTTCCCTTGTAAGATTCAGCACATTACGACGAATGGCTACAATCCACGCGATGGTACTACAGAAAGTTTGAGTGGGACCATTGTCGCCATGCTGAAGAGGTCAACCGCGGTACCAACCGAGTGGGAAAGAGACTGCCTTCCTGTACACTATGACCCCTCATAGATCAACAGGAGAGCCCTATTTTTTATTGCATGGGATGGACCTTTACTTCCCGTCAAGAACTATACCTAATAATGAAATATCGTGGTACGCGCTAGATAAAGCAATGGACGATTACAAAGTAGGTTTGATGCAACGCCTAGCAGAAAGTCACGGAAGAGTGCAGGAGTGTAATGATCGCGTGAGGGAAACCATGAAAATGGCGTATGACAACAGATATAAAGTACCGAGAAAGGCTTCCGAATTTAGGGGATAAAGTGTATTTACTATCACCCAGAGAGAAGGTGTCAAGCTCCCACCCAAAGTTAGCATGCGAGTGAGCTGGACCCGAGTTGAAGCGGAAGATAACTTTGCAATTATTACTCGAATAGGGGAAATTACGGAACCCATAAAGGTTCAATACGATATGCTAAGAGTAGGGCCAAACCGAATATGTGACGAGAGAATTGACACAAACACTCGCAGAGGAAAAAGAGGCAGGAAGCCAAAAGTGATAAACTGGAATGGTCTTATTTCAGAGACGCAGTAATCGAGTCAAGGAATGCAAAGGACATTTACACTATGAATGCAGGGTTGGATGCCTGGAAAAAGCATGCTTCGTAGACCTGAAGGACATCATGTTTCCAGGAGCATTTGCGAAGGAACCATTAGACTCACTCTGGTGTGCATGGTTTTTTTTCAGCATTTTTATGAGGAACGACATGAACACGTATGGAAAAAGGAGTGATTTGTTTGGATGCCGAAGCCCTGCAGAGAGCTTTGCGGCTGGCATATGATTGCTGTAAAGACTGGACCGAATTTCTACATGTGGCAAATGGAATATCGAAACATGAGAGGATCGATGATTACTGCCCGAAAGGACTAATGATGAAGCGTTGAAAAGTTTGAAACGCGATTTGGATGAACAAGAGAAAAACCGGCCATTAAAAAAGCAAGGTCTGACCGCGTTTGCGACGCCAGAGAATGCCCTGACACTAGTGGAACGGGACGGCTCACGTCCTGGATTTATCGCGAAGGTTGCGACGTCATTCGAAAAAATGAGGGACGTCCTAGATGAACTAAAGACATGTTTGACGTGGATAATCGTTTGGCCACTGGACACGCACTCCACGGATGCGCAGATATGCGAAACTCTCCAACTCTTCGCAGACGTCATCAGCAGCTCGAAGGAGAGCGCATAGTGTTCGCATTTCCTCCTTTGCTGGAGTCAAATCAAGCTACTTGGAGACAACTTACAGAATTGCGGCAAACGATTGATGGCTTGACAACGGCCAGCCACAGAATTGAGGGTGGCAAAGTATTTATTGAGGCCGGCGCACCGGAAGGGTGCTTGAACTACTTCGGAAAAACCCTAGGTGTGGGAAGCGCAAAAGCATTATACGAGTGCATCAGGAACTGCCTCCAGGAAGTAAAACTGCCGAAGCTGCACCCACGCGAAGTTGCGCCGACGAGGCCGCTGGCTCCCCGAGGGAGGATGTGGATATCAGGGCAGGTTTGTCGCGAAAGTATGAGAAGATCACACGCAAGGGACCGCGAAGGAACTTACCCGCCGGAGATCAGGAGGACCAGAAATTCACGGTAAAAGGCAGGTGTTGCTTCTTGGGAGGTCTCTCTCCTATCTTTAGTGGTGCGGGCATTGGGCCCACCACTCGTTCCTCGCCAAACCCCCGCCGTCCCACGTCTACAGCAGTGGTCGCCTGGTCTTTATTCGACAACTGTTTATCGTGTATTCGACAACTACACTGGCGTGCAAAACTTAGGGATGAAAACAACTTTTGCGAAAACATATGACCTCTGCCAGACAGCAGAACTCGATGAAATTCATACCATATCAAGAGAGGACCACAGCGGTATTGCACAGTAAGCAACTGACAGAAAATCGAAATAATAGCAAAAGATATGACATTTTTCTTCAGAGGTACTGATTTCACATACATCTTCACTTTTCATCCTGGTGCTTCTAGAAAAACAACGCGGTTCCTAATAGGGTGTGTGATCACCACCTACAGCAATACATGCTCTGCAACGCGATTCCATACTTTCCACGAGGTTGGTAATGAGTTCCTGTGGTAGAGCATTCCACTCCTCTCTCAGCGCAATTGACAACTGCTGGATGGTCACTGGTGCATTTGGACGTGCTGCAATGCGCCTACCCAGTGCATCCCACACGTGCTCGATGGGATTTAGGTCGGGGGAACGGGCAGGCCACTCCATTCGCCNAGTTCCTGTGGTAGAGCATTCCACTTCTCTCTCAGCGCAATTGACAACTGCTGGATGGTCACTGGTGCATTTGGACGTGCTGCAATGCGTCTACCCAGTGCAACTCACACATGCTCGATGGGATTTAGGTCGGGAAATGGGCAGGTCACTCCATTCGTCGGATATCCTCTTGTGTCAGGAGTTACTCCACCTGTGCTGTCCGGTGCGGTCTCGCATTGTCGTCCATGAAAATGAATTCACGTCCCACCGCAGCCTTGAAAGGACGCACATGACGAAGGAGTACCTCGTCACCGTAACGCTGACTTGTAAGGGTTCGTCGCTCAAAAATATGGAGGTCAGTACGGCTATGCATCATGATGCCTCTCCACACCATAACACCTCGACCACCAGAACGGTACCGCTCGACAAAGTTTCTGGGAGTGTTGCGTGTTCCCACCTCTCGCCATATAAGGGTGCGTCCAGAATCACTACTCAAACTGAATCTGCTCCCATCCGAAAAGAGCACACAAGCAGTCTCGCCGGTGCGCGAGGGTCAAAGGAACCCTCGTAGCGGTCGTCGGGCGAACAGACCGCCACCGTGCAGTCGACGTGCCACTGTGGTGCCTGAGATGGCCCGTCTTGCAGTCCTGTTAAACGTCATTGCAATCACCGAAGCTGGTTGACGTGGGTCTCTTCTTGCCTGCTGCACAATAAAGCGGTCGCCCCTTGGGGTAGTTGATCTTGGTCGGCCACCTCCTCTCCTTCGAGCAGCAGTACCAGTGGTTTGGAATGCTCTCCATGCACGTGAAACAACGCTGTGAGCGATACCGAGCTCTTGAGTCACACTGGTCATGGTTCGACCTTCTTCCAGTTTCCCGATGATCTTTCCTCGTGTGAAGTCATCCCGATGACGTCTGTGGGACATGGTGTATAGAAGGACACCACAACAGTACTTTGCAGCTACTCGCTGATTTCAAAATTTGTTTTCTCCTACCTTTCGACTGCCTCGATTTGCGCGGGCAGCCATATTTCGCGCCTTATTTGAACTATCCCTCCACGAAGAAGAGTCCAGCTTCCTATGAACCAATATGTGGTGTTGCTTACGCTCATGTGCTGTATAAATTCAAAAGAAAGTGGAGGCGTGCTCCCTCTGTCAAGGTTAGACCTATTGTTAGCAGCGTCGGGGGTCCCACTGACAGGATCGCTTGGTTCCTAAGCACCATTTTGACCCAGTTGCTTCAATTTATACCATCGCACCTTGCCAACACTCAAATGTTCCCGAGTTACCTTAAAAGGGTGCGTCCCAATAGCTCCTGGGTTATGAAATCATTCGACGTGGAAGCTCTGTATACCAACGTAAGTAATTCATCTGCTATGGAAGCCGTTTCAGAGCAGCACTGCCACGTTCTCAACATGAGAGGGTTTTCCGTTAGACAAGTTATGGGGCTTCTCACGGAGCGCCTCAACTGCAACGTTTTCAAGTGGTCGGGGAGGTACTTCGCACAGACTAGAGGTTTAGCCATGGGGCAACGCCTTTCGCCTTGCCTGGCTATTGCTTTTATGGCTAAAATAGAAACACCCGTTCTGGAGCGTCTGCCCATGATGTACTGCAGATACATCGACGACTGCTTCGTAGTCTGCTCGACACAGGAGGAAATGGACAAATGCTTCGACCTCATCAATAGGCAGTCCGAGTATATCAAGCTAACCTGTGAGAAGCCGTCAGAAAGCTAGCTCCCT